AGTCAATTAATTATTAATTCTTCATATGCATATCATTTTGTCAATTTTTACCAATCTTTTCTGTTCCCTTCTGTTTGATATTACAGATACTAATGAGCGCTAGTTTTGATGCTGCGAGATTTTCTCAATATTTTGGTGTCTGCCCAATTATCTATGTTCCAGTACTCACGTATCCAGTATGTATACAGTATTCTTTTGTGAATTAATTGCTAAGTTATCACATATGACTGCAACAACCTATTGCTCTGTTGTCAGGTAAAAAATTACTATTTGGAGGATATGCTTTCTATTATAAAATCAGGAGTACATAACCATGAGCTTAGTCAAGTAGAAAAGGTGTCTCTAGATAAAGCAATAGATTTGGCTTGGTCTAATGATGAGTGGTGCTCACTGTTAGAGCTTGTTTCTCATAACGCTAGCCCAAAGGTCTTTGATTATCAGCATTCATTAAGTGGCCTCAATCCATTAATGGTATTTGCAGGAAAAGGTAAAGTGGGTGATATGTGCATGCTCTTGTCATTAGGGGCAAACTGCCATTTAAGGGCCAAAGATGGAACAACTGCATTGGAGATAGCTGAGAAGGAAAACCAGCCAGTAGCTGTTGAGTTGCTGAAGAAGCACATGGATAATGGTTTTCCTGACAAAGAGAAGAATTTACTCGATAAATTTCTTGCAACAGCCAACCCTAAAGTTGTTGATGTTGTTCTGATAGAACAACTGTTAAGAAAAATATGTGTTGATTCAAAAGATGGAAGCATTATTGTTTTTCTTCCAGGTTGGGAGGAGATTATTAGAACACGTGATAGACTGCTTGCATCCTGTTATTTTAATAAAAGATCAAAGTTTAAGGTCATATCGCTGCATTCATTGGTTCCACACAATGAGCTAAACGAGGCTTTCAAGCCTGCACCCCATGGTTGCCGCAAAATAGTTCTCTCTACTAATATTGCTGAAACTGCTGTCACTCTGGACGATATAGTGTATGTTATAGACACTGGGCTTGTGAATGAAGAAAGTTACAATGCTGGCAAAAAAATATTTACTCTCCAATCATCTTGGATTTCAAAAGAAAGTGCTAAGCAAAGAGGGCGATGTGCTAGTCGCAGTCATCCTGGAGTTTGTTATCATCTATATTCAAAAGTTCAGGCAGCTTCCTTGCCAGATTTTCAAGTTCCTGAAATTAAGAGAACGCCTATTGAGGAGCTCTGTTTGCAGGTTTTCATCTTCCCTAAATGATAAGTCAAACGTTAGTGATTCTTATATTCCATGATAGGAGAATAAAGATTTGTTTAATCTCCAAAAAATGTACTGAGTAAATATAAAAATGAGAAAATCAATGCTTTTTCTACTACATTATAGAATTCAAACTAATTCCATGTTATAGGTAATCCCAGTCGGCTGAGTTCTTTTAGCTGAAGGAGTTATTATTAGATATTGTTTATATCATACTTTTGGTAGAATGAGCAGAGTATTTTACCTCTGCCAATTTTTTAATAAGCCGTGCGCTGATCATTCTGTTAGAAGTGTTATTAACAATTTTTTACTAATTCAACTCCAGCAGACAGAACTCAGCTCATTTGGCTTTCCTAGCATTTAACCATGCCCAAAGTTCCTTTAATGTTAATGTTGGATATCCTGCAAGTTTGGAGCAATTTTCATGATAGGTTAACAAATAGGGAAAGGCTTTTGTCTTTCATCATAGATATTGCTTGAATCTTTAGATTGGAAAGGAAACGGAACAGAACAAAACTGGCTTTATCCACATTTGAAAGATAATGAAGGAACGGTATTATCTTGTGTGGAAGTTAAAACATAAAGATGTCAAATACGTCTTTAAAACCTGTAACATCATTTCTTTCACTCAATCCCAGTTTTAGGGTGGCAAAATTATAAGGGGAATTTTTTTTTCCCTCAATTATCTTTCAGTTCCAGTCTATTATGGATTTCCCAAACATTATTTTCCTTCCGCACATTACCTGTCACCCAAATATTTTGAGTACAATTTTTTCCTTGTCCTCTCCAGTGGGTGTATAGATAGTTTCTATCAGTGTTGTGTCCATGGAAGGATTTTTTAATATTCTTTGGTAAATAACCAATATATTTTTTATTTGCATTTTTTCTATGATGTCTTTTCCTCAACTTTATTGCCTACAGGTTCATAAAAGATTCAATAAAAAATATATAGGGTGTTAATGAATTAAGCATAGTAATACAAGTGCAAAATTTCCCTAGTGTTATTTAGTTTCTTTTTTTAACTGTTACAGATAAAGTTGTTTGATCCAAGCTGCAAAATAGAAGAGTTTCTGAGTCGGACATTAGATCCTCCAGGTTTTGGGTCTATACGACATGGTGTTGGAGTTCTTCAAGAGATTGGCGCATTGTCAGTTGATGAACAACTCACGCCGCTAGGGGAAAAGCTAGGCTATCTTCCTGTTCATCCTTCAGCAAGCAGGATGCTTATTTTTTCCATATTAATGAATTGCCTTGATCCTGCGTTAACTCTTGCATGTGCATCTGAGGTTAAAGATCCATTTGTTCTTCCTATTTTACCTGATGAAAAGAAGAGAGCTGCATCTGCCAGATTTGAACTTGCTTCTTTGTATGAGGGTTGTGGTGACCAGTTTGCTATAATCGCAGCATTTGAATGCTGGCATAACTCAAGGAAAATGGGTCGAGAATCACAGTTTTGTTCTCAGTACTTTGTTTCTGATAAAGCTATGGACAAGTTATCTGTCATGCGGGAGAATTTAGCAGCAGAGCTAGGTCGGAATGGACTAATTCATAACTGTGCTACAAGTTATTGTTCTAATGCCCATGATCCTGGTATACTTCAAGCTGTTTTAGTAGCAGGGATGTACCCAATGGTTGGAAAATTGTTTTTTCCTTTCGATGGAAACAATATTTTTGTTAACACTAAAAGTGTGGATAATGTTTGCTTGAATAGTGATTCTGTAATTTCGAAGTTGTCATCACAGACAAGTCTTGATTGCTCTTTTCTTGTATATGATAAAATTACTAACAGCGACTGGGGAAGTTGCATAAGGAACTGTACTGTTATTGGACTACTTCCATTATTTTTACTTTCCAAAGATATTTTTGTTGCTCCAGCAAAGGATCTCATAAAGGAACAAGGGTTTTTTTCTTCTGCTAATATAGTTAGAGTAATCATAGATCAATGGCTTTATTTTGAGTCAACAGCAGTTGATGCTTTCCAGATGAACTATTTGAGAGAGCTATTAACAGCAGCAATGGTGTACAAAGTATGTCAATATTTATTGTTACGTACAGATTCAGTTCTTCTAAATACCTCTTTCCTTTTTTAATCTGCTTGATATGTTTGTTTTCAGGTGACATATTCCAAAGATGTTCTTTCTCCTGGTCTACGGGCTGGAATGGATTCCTTGGCTTGCATTCTGTCTTGTCATGGGCACTCTGGCATTCCACCAATATCACATTGTGCTAACACACAGACTACTACCCTAAGTGCTACCAATAGAAAAAAATTCTGTTCAAAGCTTATAAGTCGAGATGCACACCACACCAATCCATCTGAAGTTAAGGCATCTGAACCTGGGGCCATTATAAATCTAATTAACCAGATTAGTCAAAATGCTCCAAAAGATTTGGCTTGCTCTACTCCAACAAATCAAACAAATATGACTCCTGAAGGATTCTGTATTGGGCGTATAGATCACAATGATGTGCCTTCTGGAAGTAGCATATCCACATCAATTGGTGCGGAAAAGCCTTGTGATCCTACAAGTGGGAACACTGAAACAGGTTCAGCTTGTTCAATCCAGTCAGCTGATGATGCAACCATGACCGATGTGATACCATCTAAAGATCCAAATCAAACAGTGTGGTGGGATGCTTCAAAAGGTATGGGGTGAAGTTGTCAATCTTTTTCTTTTCACTGCTAGTTGAAGGCACGGTTTTAAGTTGTGGTCTGCAATCACAATTCTTAATGCAATATTGTGGTTTTTGTAGTTTCCACAATTGCAATAGTAACTATATTAGCCACATTTGTTCACAATTTCTTGCTATATTTCTCAACTTGGTTGAATTGGTAATTCTAGTTGCACAATTTTGGACAATTAACAGGGGCTTGCTATCAAAAGATTGCGGTTGAGTGGATCTTTCCTGAGGTGGGATGGATTAAAGCTAATGTAGATGGGTCCTATAAGGGTCTTGTACATCTTACTAGCTGTGCGGGAGTTTTTCGTGACCACACCGGTTCTTGGTGTTTTGGCTTCACGCTAAATCTTGGAAAATTATGTTTCGGGTAACTCTTAAATGAAGTGAATTTAAAGATTCTGTTAGGGACTCTAGTGTGAGTTTCAGTTGCATGTGTTTTTTAGGTGTGACAAACTGAAATTTATATTTTTTATCCCTTCATTTTGTTTCAGATCATCAAATCCAAATTCTGTTAAACAGTTTTGTGTGCTATCTGAGATGTGGGGTGTCCTCACTGCCCTCAAGCTTGCTAGGGAGAAAGGCATTTCGCAGCTGTGGATTGAGACTGATTCTGTTGCCGCAGTGGATTGTGTTTTGAATAAAAAGGTGCAGAAAGAAGATGGATATGATCCTCTTGTTCGGTCCATACTTGAGTTGATGGAGGGAATATGTACCGTTCGAATTTCTCATTGTTATCGTGAAGGAAACCAAGTGGCTGACTGGTTGGCTAAATATGGGCATTCTACTGAGGTAGGTCTTCAAGTACTCGATGAACCTCCTAGTGGGTGTGTCCCATTTTTAACTGATGACTGTGCTGGAGTTCATCAAATCCGAACTGTTCGTGTTGATTGATCGGGGGCCATGTTCTCCCTTGAGAGTGTGAAAAGCTAAAAATTGGTCATTTTCATACGGGTAAGAGTATTTTCGGTTAAAATCAGTATTGACTATTGATGTTATAAGGTTGATATTAATTCTTCTCGCACTCTAACTTGTTCCGTGCATAATATTTGTATTATGACTGAATTTTTGCGAGGAAATCTATCAGTTCAGCCAGTAAGAAGATTAGCCTTTCTTGTGGCAAACAAGGAAATGAGTTCTGCGGCTTTTTCACATGATAAGATCATATGAACAGAGGGAGACACAAAAACCAGGACCCTACTGATTCGTGCGGGTTACAGAAAAAGGGTCTTAGGTGTCGTCTTTCTCTCTTCTAATATTCTTATGTGAAAACTCAGCATTCATTGCCAGCAACTGCTTTTTTTCTTATATCTGCGAATATTATTTTCCATCATCTGATCCTCTGACTAATTAATGACAACGGTGGTTCTTGTGGTTAATGGATGGTGCCTGCCCTCTTAACGTTGGAGCGAAAAAGAGGAAGAGTAACAACCATCCTAAACTTAGTCCATTCCAAGCAAGGTACAATTGTTTTGTTTTTGTGCTTAACCCCCACTGTACTTTATAACTATTTTACATACTAATCTTCCGAAATTTCGAGATTTGAAATTTATAAGGTGTGTATATATATATATATATATATATATATATATATATATATATATATATATATATATATATATATATATATATATATATATATATATATATACACAAAAAAAATTGAGAATTGAATCCGTTATCTTCTGTTTAAGAGATAATATTTGAATACCATTTTTTTTTAATATTTTATGATTTTATAATATGTTATTTTAAAAGTTACATAGAATTATATCTACAGTAAAATGAGTTTATTAATATGTTGTTTATATTGATTTAATAATTGAAGTTATCAACTTTTGTTATTAAGACAAACTAATGGACTATAAAATTGATAATTTGAAAACTGTATTATGTCTTTTCTTCAAATTAGTCTGTCTTAAATTTTCTGAAAATACCTAATTTCAATCTTTTATATTTAAATTTAACATATAATTTTTTGATTTCAACAAAAATGATAAAATGTTATATATTACTTATTCGTTATACTTAAATTTATTATTTACTAAGTTTCATTGAAAAAAAAGTCAGACTTTAATGTTTTAGTACTTTAATTTTATGATGAATAATATATTTTTAATATCACAAAAAAAAATAAGAATTAACTAATCAACTCTTAAATTACAGATCCAATTGTAGATGGGACTACAAACATTTAATTTATTTGATTTTCCTTATTAGTTTCTTAAATTTAGTATTTGGTAATATATTTGTATTATTACAATAATAATATTTAAATATTCATGGTATTTAAATTTAATATTTAACTATTCATGGTATTTAAATTTAATATTTATTATTTCCATACAAAAAATGAGAACTAATTAATTAAATATTAAACTACAGGATCTTTTTAGGAAAATTATTAGAATTAAAAATAAATTTTTTATTTGATTTTTCTGTACTTAAAGTTGATGTTTAATAATATATTTTTATTGTCATGAAAAGTAGATTTTAATTATTCTTTATATTTAAATTTAATATTTAATAATATAATTTACTATTATAAAAAAATCAAAATTAATTAATCAACTCTTATAATATAGGTAAACATCAGCTGTTAGGAAAATTACTCGGATTAAAAACATTTAATCTGTCATTATTTTTCTAATATTTGCTTTTATTTTATTTTATTTAGTTTTAATTTTATTATTTGTAAGATTTGTGTGATTTTGATGCTGAAAAGTCTTTTTTTTTTAATTATATTGTTAATATTTGATGCAAAATAGTTTTAAACGAACTCCAATGTTTATATTTGCCACTATCTTTTGTTTTAGATACACCCTGCATCCTTCTTTTAAAGAAGGTTTAGATTGAGATTTTTTTTTCCAAAATATTATAAAAAACATCATTTACGAAAATAAACCCTCAGTCCACTTTATTTATTCAAATAAACCTGTAAAGTCAAAATTTGGTTATCAGATAATCGAATTCCGAACAGGAATGTGTCACGCCGAAAATTGAAATGCAATTCAGAATTCGTTTTTTTTTCTTCAACTTATTTATATATATTTATATTTATATGTATTTGTATAATTGTATATAAGATTTAATAATAAGATATTTAATAAATACATATATTTATATATTTAATAAATATTGTCTTAATCGAAATCGCGTCGGGACAACGAATCATAGATTATTCAAGAAAATTATGGAAAAATCATAAAGATAAGACGAAAACAAGATCTGGATTCGGAAATTGGTTATGAGTAGGGAAAATATTAGCATCCTACAACGTCTGTCCTAAGCTGATTACCCTTAGTTGAATGTATGAAATTAAATGTCATTTTAAAAAAAATATTAATTTCCCCTAAAATAGGAAACAAAGAAATAAAAATAGAAAAAAAGAAGAGAATGGACAAAAATATTTTTTAGTTTTTCGGGGGCTGACAAGGATTTATTTTGCTCTTACGTATTCTCATTCAAAATGAGAAATAAAGGTTATGTAGTTTTCTGTAGAAAAAGTTTGTGTTTGATTAAAGTTTTGAAATTTTTTTGTTTTTGTAAGAGTTTTGTATTTTGTTTTTTTAACGTTTTGAAGGCACATGATGACATGTGCGGTCATACCTGTGTTTTAAAGATTTATTTAAAAAGGAAGGACATGACGCGAATGGTCATACCTGTACTTCAAAGTTTATTTAAAAGAAGAAAACATGACGATATGATTGATCGTACCTGTACCTCAAAGTTTATTTAAATATAGAGGACATGATGACACAAGCGATTGTACTCGTACCTCAGTTTATTTAAAAGGAGAGGATATAACGATGTGAGTGGTCGTACTCGTACCTCAATTTATTTTTTAAAAATAAAGGACATGACGACGCAATTTGCCATACTCGTACCTCAAAGTTTATTTTTTTTAAAATAGAGGACATGACGACGCGAGTGGTCATACATGTACCTCAGTTTATTTTAAAATAGAAAAAAAAAACTTGTAAAGGCACGGGACCGACAATTCTAGGTCGATACGCGGGGCCGATAGCCCTAGGTCGATACGTGGGGCCGACAGCCCTAGGTAGATACACGAGACCGATAGCCCTAGGTAGATACACAGGACTGACAACCCTAGGTAGATACGCGGGGTCGACAACCCTAGGTCGATACGCGAGGATAGCCACGAGATCAACATTCTTGGATCGAAGCACGAGACTGCTAAAGTGAATAACGCAAGACCAACAACCACAAAATCAAAACAAGCTGATATCCTCAAGATAACAATAAAACAAAAAGCCTGAGCTCTCATACTTTCATATCAAAAGTGTCATGAAGCACATAAAAACATACAACCACAAGCATCCAACCTTTACAATAGAAATCAATATATTTATAGCCAATGTTAAAATAAGATGTGACATCAATTGCAAATTACCCACACTCGCAAGCAATAATCCAAAGGTGTTTCAACCCAAATTGATAAATGAAATCTAGTAACATAACGGTAGCACAATGGCATTAGTTAAAAGACCCACGGTCCATGCAATCCAAATAACAAAAAGAAGGACCCAAGGTCCAAAAACAGTCCAATACAATCCAGATACAATCATGTACAACTTGTAATAAATAGAACAACAATAAACACAAAGATAATCCCACAATCCAATATCCCTAATCAAACTCAAACACAAATTCCAAACCAGAAATGAGGCTAAACGAGGACAATACCATTCGACTTAAAACAACTAACCCAACCAAAATCTGGTTGACCTCAATCAGAAACAAGCAAAAGTAACATATGCGAGCAGTGGCGGATTTTGACCATTGATTTTGGGAGAGCTAAATAATATATTATTAATAAACAATAAAAAATATAAAAGGAAAAAAAAATTAAAAAGATGAAAGGATAAAATTGTAAATATATATTTAAATATATTAAATGATCATTAAGTTTGAGGAGACAAAATCATAAATTATATGAGTTACTAAACTGAAGAACGAGGGACTGAGAAGATAAAATTGTACATATATAAATAAATATATTAAATGTTCATTAAATTTGGGAGAAGAAAATCATAAAAGTACATTGGAGTTACAAAACTTTGAGGTTCATAAAACTTTGGGGGTCATGACTCCCCTCAACTCCCAATAAGATTTACCACTGTATGCGAGATCAAACACAATAAGTCATGAGAAACAATGACCCCTATCAGAAACAAAAAATAAAAATAAAAAACCAAAATCAAGTAGAAGAAGAAGAGGGTTAAGGCTAGATCCCTTGGCCTAGGGTTTGACCTTCACGGGCGAGTTGGCTCGCAATGTGGTGGTGAAGTGTAGTGAGTAGTCAATGTTGATTCACATTGAAGAATGGGTTGGCTCGTTGGGGAGATGAGTGAGATGAGGGCCTGGAGGTGAGGGAGTGGTTCGATGAGGGAGTGGTTCGGTGATTGAAAGGATGACATGTGGTTAGGGTTAATGTGGCATCAGAGGGGAAGGAGAAAGGATTTTAGGGATAAAGGTGCCTACGGATGTAGGCTTGGGCTAGTACTGGGTGTGGGTCACGATGGGGGTGGCACGGCTGAGACCCGTGGTGGCTAGCATTCGGAGGTGGTGTCTCATGGCTGGTAGTGGAGCTGGCGATTCGTGACACAAGTAGCGAGAGTGGGGTTCGTGATGGAGGAGATTGGACTGGAAATGGGAGGCTTGGTGATTGGGAGATGGAGATGCAGCGACTAGTGAAGGAGAAGTGTCAAGATGAGGGGCGATTGGTGGTGCGCGATGAAGATGGTGGTTGTGGAAGGTGGCCAAGGTCGAATAGGAACGGGTGTTTGGGGTTTTTGATTAAGGGATGCGAACAAGGTTGCAAGGGAGTTGGGAGAATGAAAATGAGGGTCAGTGAGAAGTGATTGATAATAGAGGATGAGAATGAAAATGAGGGTGAGTGAGAAGTTTTTGATAATGTAGTGGATGAGATAAGGGGGAGTGTAAACCCCTTCCAAATTATATTTATTAATTATAATTTCTTATTCTAATTTAGTAATATATCAAAGTAATAGAAAATTTAAAGTGAAATTCCTCATAAAGAATGCTCATTTATTATATAATCCCTAACCTATGTTATGGATTTTTTATTTTTATTTTTTTTATCTGACATCTATTTCTTGAATTCTATATTCCTGTGTCATACATCACCAATATCTAGGATTGAAAATATTTATGGGATTAGACATTTAATTTTACGTATAATAAACAAAACAAACATTCATATAATAAAATCAAACAATGAAACATTCTTTCATAATAAGTTCATAACTATATATAAATATACAATCATATATAATTTAATTCAAAAATTAATTATGAAAAACAAATAAATCAATCATGGAAACATAATAAAGAACATCATACAAATCATGAATAATCTACAATTCATCATGTAATATGTTTATGATAAGTACATATGATAAATATTTATACATGTATAACTATATGAAAATTTATAAGTTTACCTTACTTTTATATCATAAACAAATTTTAAGTTGATAAGTACTTTTCTTTTGAAAATGTTTGATTTATTAATAATATTTGTCTTCCAACTTGACATTTCTATTTATTTAAGTAGATATTGAAAGTAATGAGGGGAAGATTGATGGAAATGTCCCTACATTCCCAAGAGATGATTTTGATGATGATTCAAGTCAATTACATTCAAGTTAACACCATTCAAGATGAATTAAGGACAAACTGAATTTATGACGTTGGTGAAAATGTGAAACATTTTCTTACATGGCCAAGATATGTTTTTGATAAAGATGATGATTCAAGCAAGCCCAACATGATTCCTGAAGACTAGATAAAGTCTTAGAATACTAGATATGGAGGTACAAGTTGATGAAGTAATATTATGCATAAGCCTCCAAAGCACAAGTGTGATAAAATTCATAACATGATATTTTTCACTGTCATAATTAATTATGATGCATCAGAAATGGAAAAATGATTTTCTCTATCATAATTGATTATACTGGTAATATAATCAATTATGGCAATTTAAATTTAAAAAATATATTTGTTTTAAAGAATAAATGTTTTTGAATACATTCTGATTTTCTCTATGATATTATTAATGTCCAACGGTCATTTTCTGATACTATTTTTCTATTTAATTAAGTTTTGATGAAAAATAAAAAACACACAATTGCAGAATTCGAAAATACAATTTACATTCAATCAGTTTTGAGAAAAGAATGTTGAGTAAGGCAACAGAGACATTTTACACCTTTTGAGAAAACCCTCTTCTCTACTGCCTTTTGTGCTTTCATTGTTAATCACACTTGTTCTTGGAGATTGACATTCTACAGGCTTCTACAATTTGTTGTCTCCATTATCCAAGTGTGTCTGTTCTTATTTTTATTACCTTTATTCTTTTTGTATTGGTGAAAAGGAGGTTTTTTCATCCCTAGTGTGATTCTAGAGAGGTGTTCATCCTTAGTGGGATTCTAAGGAGGTGTTTTCATCTTTTGATTTATTCAGAGGAAGTGTTCATCCTTAGTGGGATTCTAGGGAGGTGTTCATCCTTAGTGGGTTTCTAAGGAGGTGATTGTCTTTTTAATTAGTTTACTTTTTATTGGTTCTTCTACTAAGTTGATTATAATTTGTAAACTGAATTTGAAAATTAGTGAATGGAGAGTCACTCTTGTGTTAAGAGTTGACTAGAAACTGGATGTAGGGTTGACTATACCCGAACCAGTATAAATCTCTGTGTGCTCTTCTCTTTCCCTTATCTTTTTCTCCTTTCCTGATTATATTATTGCTTCCGCTTTATATGTGTTCAAACAATTTATTGACTCACAAATAAATTTTTAATTTTACATATATTTTAATTTGTGCCTTTATTCACCCCGCTCTAGATGTCATTTGTCTAACAAGTAGTATCAGAGTTTGGTTAGATAAGATATTTTCAAATGGTTTCTCAAGATATCTATGCAGAATCAGGTTTACAGGGAAGGAGTCTCAATAAATAGACCACCACTATTTGAAGGAGAAGAGTATCAGTTTTGGAAAGCGAGAATGGAAATATTTTTACAAATACTAGATTATGGTGATTGGGATGCTGTACTCAATAGTCCTTACATTCCGATGAGAAAAACGAAGTCTGGAGTTGTTCCAAAGACTTTTGACCAATGGACGCCGGATGAAAACAAGTGTGCCCAATATGATGTAAGAGCCCGAAACGCTATTGTTTCTACCTTAACTCGTAATGAATTTTTCAAGGTCTCACAATGCTAGACGGCAAAAGAAATATGTGACACTCTTGAAGTAACACATGAAGGAACAAATAAAATAAAACGATCACGTAAGAACACACTCATCCAAGAGTATAAATAATGCAGCAAAATGAAAGCATCACAGATTTTCAGACATGCTTCACACATATAGTAAATCACTTGAAAGCATTAGGAAAAAATTTTGACAATGAGGAGTTGAACACAAAGATCTTAAAACCCTTAGACAGGAATTGACAACCAAATGTCACTGCTATTACAGAATTAAAGGATCTCACAAAAATGAATATTGATACTCTATTTAGATAGTTGCGAGAGCATGAGATGGAGCTACAAAGGTTAAAGAACGGTGAACAGAATCAAATCAAGACAATAACTTTAAAAACAGAAAAATCTTCACAAGTGTTAGATATTGTTTAGATATTATTTGATATTATTAAGATATTGTTAGATATTGTTAACTATAATATCAAACAATATCTTCTGTTTATTCTGTTACTTTCAGTTACTCTTTTAGTTGTATCTCTCTATTATAAATAGACCACCTTATGTGTGATTTATACACAAGGGAAATTAATTTCAAACCCTATTTTCTCTATATTCAACATGATATCTAGAGCTTAAGGTTATCTTGAATTTTTTTTTTCCGCCTTTTGTTTACTATTGGAGCCACCCCACCGCTACTAGAGCCGCCCCACCGTTGCTGGTAAACTGATCCTCCACATCAGAAAAGAATTATCTTTGTCATTGAATTTTATTTGGTAGTGTGAAAGTGCATGTTTAGGAAAGTTTTGGCAAGGAAAGACTTGGTATTTAAGTGTGTCCATTAGTGACCCACCTCTCTTTCCTAAGAACTTACCTAGTGTACTAGTTCACGTTACTGTCACCGCTGCCGCTGGAGCAGTCACCGGGTCCACCGCTGTCGGAGAATTCGCCGGAGTTTCATTTTTTTTTACCGGTGACATATGATTTTGCTTGTCTCGGTCAGGTGACCACCGTGCCATTGAGATGACCACTATCGGAGTTGGTCGTCCCATTGTCTCCTACACCGTTTAGTCTTGGCGAACTTATTTTTAGTATTCTCATTTTGGATTTGTGCTTCGTGGGTTAATTGGATTACTTTGGATTGTTTTAGTGTTTGTTCTCCCGCTCTTCATGACTTCTTCCACTATTTCCAATTTTGTTAACGATTCTTTTGTGTTGACATCCCATCGTGATGACTGGGCTCGCCCTCGCAAACAGGAAAAAGGGCGTCCTAAGTGTGAACATTGTGGCAAGCTAGGTCACAAGATTAACAAGTGTTATACATTATATTTCTTGGGTATTGAGGTAGTACAGTCCAATGATGGTATTGTTATATCTCAGAGGAAGTATGCCATAGATATTTTGGAGGAAACTGGATTGATGAGTTCAAAGTCTGTTGATACACCCATGGATCCCAATACTAAACTTCTACCAAATCAGGGGGAGCCTATATCTGATCCTGAGCAAGTATAGAAGATTGGTTGGAAAATTGAATTATCTTACGAGTTACTCGTCCCGACATTTCCTTTGCGATCGGTGTGGTAAGTCAATTTCTTAATTCACCATGTGAAGATCATTGGAATGCAGTCATTCGTATCTTGAAGTATATTAAAGGATCTCATAGAAAAGGATTGTTATATGGTTCTAATAACCATACAAGAGTTGTTTGCTACTCAGATGCTGATTGGGCAGGATCTCCTTCGGATAAAAGATCTACATCTGGATATTGTGTCTCCATTGGTGGTAACTTGATTTCATGGAAAAGTAAGAAACAAAGTGTTGTGGCAAGATCCAGTGCGAAGCGTAATATAGAGTTATGGTCTCGGATTCTCGTGAACTTGTTTGACTTAAACAATTGCTTAGAGAGTTACAATTTGGAGATGTCACTCAAATGACACTTGTGTGTGACAATCAGTCGCTCTTCATATTAGTTCTAATCCTGTCTTTCATGAGAGGACCAAACACATTGAGATTGACTTGTCATTTTATTCGAGAAAAGATTATGTCCGGAGATATCAAGACTGAGTTTGTTAACTCAAGTGATCAGTTAGCAGATATTTTTACTAAATCTTTACGGGGTCCTAGAATTGATTATATTTGTAACAAGCTTGACACATACGATTTGTATGCTCCAGCTTGAGGGGGAGTGTTAGATATTGTTTAGATATTATTTGATATTGTTAATATATTATTAGATATTGGTAACCACAATATCAAAAAATATCTTCTGTTTATTCTGTTACTTTTAGTTACTCTTTTAGTTGTATCTCTCTACTATAAATAGACCACCCTATGTGTGATTTATACACAAGGGAAATTAATTCCAAACCCTATTTTCTCTATATTCAACAACAAGACAAAAGCAAAAATGAAGGTAAGTTTTCGGATTCTGATATGTCTCTTTTTGTTAAACAATTTTCTCGCTTTATAAAGAACAGGAAAAAAAGACAACAAAGAAAGGAGAAAACAAATAAATTTCATTGCTATGAATGTGGAAAACCTAGTCATATCAAACCAGACTGTCCGGAACTTAAGAAAGAGAAGAAAGATATGAAAGAGAAGAAGAAAGAAAAGAACGATACCTATAAGAGCAAATG